AGGATTTTTCTGTTACTAGGATATTAACTTTTTTTTATCAGAATCAGGTGTTGAATTTTTGTCAAAAACCTTTTTGGCATCTGGCAAGATAACCATGAGGTTTTTCCTTTTAACTCTCTTAGTCATAGATTTGATAATGGTGCCATTTTTCACATTTCTAGAATGAACTCTTTTGGTCTTGGTGTACAGTTTTATTAACTTACTAACATGTTTGGGATTTTGCATGTATATTTGTAAGTTTAATTGGTATTACCATTTGTGTGTAGTTTTTGATAGGTTTCACCATCAGGGGTATGAAAGTGAATTGAGAAGTTTGAATCGTTTTTACCATGGGAATTGTCTATTCCTTGAAGGTATGATAGAAATCACTTTTTAAATGACATTAATTCAGTGCTATTTGGAGGAAATAGTTATTGGACAACTGTTTATTTCTCAGTTATTATTCAGGGTCTTTTTTTAACCTTCTTTAGTCAATTTTGTTTTCTTAGAAAACTGGCCTTGCATTGATATTTTCACATTTAATTGAATAAAATTAGTATATGATTTCTTTTATACTTTGAACTCTTCTGTATCCAGAATTATTTTTGTCTGATGTTGCTTATTTGAATATGTTTGGGAGAGATAGATTTGATAGATTGTCTATTTGCCCTTTCTAAAAAATACCTAATTAATGGATTTTATTTTTTAATTCTATGGGGGTTTGCCATATTTCTGCCTTTATTCATTTCTTTCTCTAAATTTCTTTGCATTATTAGAGCTCTTGGTTTGAATGATTAGTTTGTGTACTTTTCTCTTTTTTCCTGCCTTAATAATAAAATCAGTTGCAACTGGAAATTTTTTTCATGGGATAAGCTTTGGCCCTATCTTCTACATTTTGACATAAAAGATTTTAACTGAAATTTCCAAAGAGTCTATAATTGTAGTTTTAATTTATTCTTTACCCAAGAGTTATTTTGAAAGTATTTTACATTTTATGAGTAGATTTTGTGTGAGCATTGGTTTGCTATCCTAATTTTGTTATAATAGACAGTGCAGTTTATATAGTTTTTAATTGAGAGAACTTACTGACATTTTCTTCATGGATTATGTATGATCAGTTTTTATGTATGGTCAATTTTAGTAAATGCGCCACATATTATGTAGATTATTATTTGTAAGGTATGAAGTTTGATATGACATATTTTGTAAATTCTAAGATACCTTGATCATAAGACACAGTGAATTTAATAACCCTTCTATGGAATAATTAAAATATCTGTTAAGTTTAACTTAGTGAACATTGTAAGATATATCCCAATTTCAGATACATGAAAAAAAAATGATTTAGAGTTTTCCAAGTTCTCACTTCTGGGATCAACTTTCTATTTTAAAATATGAAATATGTTATTTAAAGTTTTGTGTTCTTATTGAGTTTTGTCCATTTCTCCTTATATTTTTAATTGTCTTTGCTCTAAATCAGTATATTTCAGTGCTTTAATATTCCATGTAAAAAGATTTCTAACTTCTTTGTGGCGTCTTTATTGGTTTATTAGTATTTTAAAAAACTCTTCTAGCAGTTAATGCTTTTTTCTTCATACAGTTTTGCCACATCTGCCTTCTTTTTACTTGCATCTATTGCGTTGGCCAAAAAAATCCATTTAGTTTTTCCCATAAAATAAATGACACATTTTTTCATTTTCACCAATAACTTTATTGATTTGCATATTTAGAATATGTCAGCTATCTCACACTGTTGGCTTCTAGTGGGTAGAGGCCAGGGATGCTGCTAAACATCTTCCAATGCATAAGACAGCCCCACAGCAAAGAATTATTTGGCTAAAATGTCAATAGTACAAGAAATTTCTTGTACTAAGGCAACTTCGCAAACCACTTTTGACACATTCGATCAGTAACAGCACCTTCTCCATATACTGCACAAGTCTTTTTTTGCGTTTCAGTTGCATTTTTTACCTTTCTTGAAATAATAAAACATAAAACACTGAAAATGTGTATTTTCTTCCATCTTCAGTATTAAAATGGCTGCACAAAAATTCACCAATTTTGTTAAGTTTTTAAAAAACGCACACTGAGAGTGAAAGAAGGAGAAGGATCAAGGAACATGTATAAAGGACACATGGACAAAGACAGCTGGGGGCAGGGGAGTTGAATGTAGGAGGTGCGGGGCGAGTAGGGCAGGGGAGAGTAATGGGAAAATGGGGACAACTGTAATTAAACAGCAATAAAAAATTAAAATAAAAAACATAAAAAAGAATGCATGCTGATATGACAGCTGTCACAACACAATAACAAAATTGTTTCCAATGACGTTAAAGACAACTAAATGCTGCTAGAGCCATTGTATGGAAAAAAACTAAACCAACTTTTTGGCCAGCCCAATACTTGGATTTTTCTGTCCCTTTGTCTTCAACCAATTTGTCATCTTGTTTTAGGTTTTTCTTATTTTAGGTGTTTCTTTTATGAACAGGATTTTTAGTTTTTATCCAATCTTAGAGTTTGCCTTTCCTGGGAATTTTTCTCTTTTATTATGATTATGTTTAATTTATTCGTGTCATCCTATTTTGTGCTTCCATCTCCATTTTTTAAATTTTTACTATATTTGAAGTTTTCTTTCATTTCTCTCTCCTTCATTTATATGGCAAATTTGCTGTTTTGTTTTTAATCGTTACGAGAGAGCAAGCAAGCGCACGGGGGTGGGCAGGGTGGGCATCGCTGTGAGATAGAAACAGATCAGTTGCCTTCATGTGCATCCCAACCTAGCATCAAACATGCAACGCACTGAATCAAATCAGCTACCTTTCAGTTCACAGGGCAGCGCCCAGCCCACTGAGCCATACCAGTCAGTAAAGGAAGTAAAAGAACCAAGCCTACCACTTTATTACAATATATACTGGATCTTTTGACCTACATGTCTTTTCATTTCTTTCATAATTTTCTGCTTTTCTCCCCCTTTTTATTTAGGGAGAATTTCTTAAACTGGCACTCTGTGTGGTATTCAGTCATTAGGTTTACTATAGTATACAATCTGCTAGTTACTGTCTTCATTGGATGTTTTGTTTTAGCAAATGTATTTTTTCTCCTCTAAGAATGTTCTTTTCATATTGCTCCTTTTTTTTTTTTTTTTTGACTGCCTGCTTTTATCAATGTGGCACTCTTTTGAATCTCAATGAGATTCTTCTGTTTTCTCCTGTTCCTGGCAACAGCTGTCTCCTAAGAGGCTGCTTGTCTTGAGCACGCAGATCGGTCCTATCCTTTTGAATTGCTGAATATTTTTATATCCAATGATTATTCCTCCATTTGTTTATATGTTGGAAGTGATGTTTGCGTTTGTTCTATAGCTGAGATGGTTCTTTCAGAGATTGTGTAGGCCCCTGTGCAGTTTTTTTTGTTCTGGAACAGTCTCCCTTTGGTAGCCCAAAGCCTGCTGGTGGAATGGCCCCCACCCAGTCAACCTAGTACATCTGTCAGCACAGAGCCCCACACAGTCAGTGGGCGTCCATGCATCTCAGTGCTGTGCCACACAACAGCCTCTAGTGACAGCAGAGGCTCCAGTTACCCAGATTTGCCCCACAGCCTCTGCCTCCAGCTCCTAGCCAGGGACCGTTTATGAGGCTGGTGTGTGTTTGTGGTTTGGGGTATTGGAAGGAGGGAAATCATTTTGTGACCTGCTCTGCTCTATCTGTATTGCCCCTGCTGAAGCCTTCCAAAGGGCGGGACCCTTCTTTGGAATGTAGTGGTGGTGTTCAGCCAAACAGGACCACTTGTGGTTGTCTCACCTTTTTTCCCTCCTGTATCTTTGTCTCTTCCTGAAATTTCCATCTGTGAAAGTTTTGCATATCATTCCTCATAGCTTAATGCCACTTTTTTTTTTCCAGAAATTTCCTCAGATTCCTTCCACTATAAATGATCAACCCTTCATTACATGTTCTGCCTTATATTCTAGCTATATCCTTGTCTCATTCCCTTTCCTTTTGCATTGTTGGCTCCTTGAGTTTTGGAACCTGTCTTACTCGCCTTTATATAGAGAAATGGTAGCATGAAGAAGTAAGAGGAAGCCAGGTTTGAGTCCCCATTTAGTACCTGCTCACCAGGAGACTTTGGACAAGTAAGTTACTTAACCTTTCTGAGTGGATTTTCTCTGCAGGAAAATGGGCATAACAATTGTACCTACCTCATGAAGTTGTTCAGAAGATTAAATGAGATAACACAGCATAGTGAAATAAATGGAAATAAATCTTATTTTTCTTTTGTTTTCTGTATCCCTTGCAGCACCTAGCTAGCTCATACAGTGCCTCTTTCACAGAGGCCTTCAGGTAATGGTGACTGAGTGAGTGCAGACCCTAAGTGCTTTGTGTTACACTCACTTTTGCACTGAGTCCGTGGCAGAGCCCAGGAAAGAATCCAGGGCTCCTGACTGTCCCACACATGCTCCCACCTGCACATGCTGAGTAAGTGGGTCTTCAGATGCCTTGCATAAAGTCTATAGAATGGAGAAGTGTTTTGTTTATTAAAAAATTGTAGCCCTTCTTTGAGAGAGAGGGTTCTATTTGGTTGGTCAGATTTTCAAATAAACAGTTGCTGTTCCTGTCTGGCTTGAGGTTTGATAAAGAAATAGCCACAAATGGAAGCCCAAAAGGGAAGCAACATAGTGTTACAATGGAAATAATTGTTTCCAAGTAGAGTTTTAGGTGGTTGTTGATTGTTAACTCCCTCTCAGACAGATTCTACAAATCCATCAGTCAGTCAGTAATACTCTGATTCTATTTGTGACCCTTCCTTTGCTCTTCTCTGGTGTGTTGAAGGCGGCATGTCATCTCCTGTCAGATTCTTGTCTAACAAAGTAGGGTGGTCTCTTCCTTGATAATGTAGCAGTGACTAAAGGAAACGTTTGTAATTGCTTTTCTCATTGATTATTAAACCTGCTGCGGGGGTGGGGAGAAGGTCAACACCGTGAAGTAAATACACCTTCTAGGAAATTCTCTCCTTTTGTAATTTTCCTCTAGGCCTCCACTACCCTAAATTCTGGGAACTTACTGGATTTGATGTACCAGGAGCCAGCACGATGGTCCTACACATTCCAGACATTTTCTTTTATGAGCCGCCTGAAAATAGAGCTGGAGCCCTTCCCTGAGAAACTCTTACAGGCCAAGAAAGTGGTACAGATCTTTGAGAGGTCTGTGTACAGTGACAGGTAAGACCCTGAACCCGCCGCCAGTCAGAAGCCCCGTGTTCAGCGCTGTGGGTTTTCTCCTCTTGCTTAGACCCAGTGCCACTCTGGTCATTGAACATTGCAGTTTTTAAAATTGTCTTCTCTTTTAAGACAGCATTATACAGATTTGTTCAAACTTATAATTCCACAGGGCTGTCATATATGTCAAGAAAGAAAATTTTACTTTTCATAAAGTAGATGCACTTAATTTCCTACATTGCCACTGATTATGTTTTCCTGTTTCTTTCTGGCACAGAGGTAAGCCGGTAGATGCCTAATAGAAACAGTACATGCTAAAAGGCACAGAATAGATGCTAAGAAGCAGAGTATGTTCAAGAAAACCAAGTGAATCAATCAGTGCTTGGTTATCACCTTGAAGAAGAAAGCAGACAGAATTAAAAATTTGTGTTTTTAAAATGATACGAGAGATATAGTCATCTTTTTTTATTATTGTTATTCTTCAAGAAGGTTTTCTAAGAAGAAATAGCACATCTATGAAATTGGCTTCCGTTTTGGATTTATCCATATTTTTTAATTTTATTTTTTTAATCCTCACCTGAGGATATGTTCACTAAGGTTAGAGAGAAAGGAAGTGTGAGAGAGAGAGAAACACTGATAGGTTGTTTCCCAAATGCATGCGAGCACGCCAGGGATCAAACAAGCAGACAGTTCTGATATGCAGGACGACACCCTAAACAACTAGGCCACCCAGCCAGGGCTGGAATCACTTTTAATAAAGGCTAGCAGCCAGCTTGGGAATTCAGCTCGTCTTTTCCAGAGCAGCTAGTCCATCCAGGCTCCAGAATTCCTGGCTGTGCCATGAGAGCAGGCTGTGACTTAGCCATTTGAAAACAAGTGGGGTGCTTTGATGTGGATACTGCTGCTTTGTTTTTGTCTGAAGGCTGTGAATGACCGTCAGTGTGAAATGATGGTTTAAAGCATGATAGTCTGTCTTAAGTATCAAAATGGAAAATGCTGTATTTGATTGTCCATTTACTTCTGAAGACACTAAGTTGGTTACCCATTTAATTCCAAGTTCTTGGAATTAACTAACAATCTAGTTCTGCTTCTGCTTCTTAGTGCTCCCATAAAGCCTTCTGGAGGGAAAAATAAGAGTACATTTGTAAATGTCATGTTATTTGTTTTAATGTTACCTAAAATCATGCGAGATAGGTAAAACAAACCATGTGGGCTACACATTCCTTCTCTGTGTACTCCAAGACAGAGTCTACTCTTTATAAAAGCTAAATTTGTGAATTACCAATGCTTGGGCTCTAGATTTTGGTTCTTATTCACCTGTTGGGTATAATGCTTCCTATATTCCTCTCCTCTTTCCGAAGCCATGCCTTCTGACTAGGAAGATGAGCTACATAGAACCACTGAGGTTACTTGGAAATGTACTCACTATCAGTCTTTTCATTTCTAGTCCATTAGTGAGGTAGGCATGTGAGAGGCCCCTCAGAAATCAAAATACTACTTTAGAGGCTACAAGATCTTACCATTTTCTTGAAAGAGATGAGAATTGATTGCACGATAAGCAGCTACAACATCCTATATGTTTTCCTCAGAGGGGGCATTTGTAAGGCAGAAAGGATAACTAATTACACATTTTTATCCTGATGGTAGTTTAGAACCTTTCCACTCTTAAAAATGCATTCGTGTGTGCATTCACTCAGCACAGGTACCTTGAGTGGCACCTGTGTTCAGACACCAGGCCTGGGCCAGGGGCTGCAACAGGAAACAAAATAGACGCAGTCCCTGCCTTCATAGCAACGTGGTCTGACAGGGAACTCTGAGACTGCACGTGCGCTCCTGTGTTATACGTGTTCCAAAGGAGGACCCGGTTGTTTGGTAGAGTGGATGGCAGAGAGGAAGAAGCCTGAATCTTCTGTTCAAGTTAACCAATAGCATGTGGTTTTAGAGCAAGGACCCTGCTGCCTGGGTCCTCCAGCTGATTCTTTGCAGCCCCTGCAGTGGGGCTGCAGCAGCGCCGCCCCCTTAGCGTTCAGCACCGCGCCCCGCTGCTCCCACTCTCCCCACAGTCACCACCAGGCTTTGGAGAAATAAAGAAGTGCTCAGGAATGTGCGGGCTTTTTGTAGGGCTTATTAACAGATACCTAAGTTCTCTTTATAAGATCTTAATTTCCATGTTACCTGGGACGAAGCGGAAACCATATTTTTAGAAATTGAGTTATAGAAGTCACCTCCTTTTCTTTTTGCCTTTAGCTAGGCTCTAGCTAAACCATTCCAGCCTGGAAGAGTTGACCTCTGGAGCTCTCACATTGGTTTCTCCATAGCCTCGCAAAGGAGTTACAAGATTAAGACACCTTGAATACTATGTGCCACTCCCTCCTCTGAGCACTTGTATTATGTACAATCCTCACAACTCTGTGAGTTAGGTTCTGCTGTTCTCTCTTTAAACAGAGGAAGAAACGGGCTGAGTTTACTGATGTGCCCATGGTGACAGAGCTGGTGAATTTTTGGAGCCAAGATCAGACTCAGGCTTGTGATTCTGCAACCGGTTCTTTTATAGCACACAACTATGCAGTGTATATGCAGTGTATACTTCCCTGAGCCATTCATACACAAGGATTTTGAATTTCATTTTCTCAGAAGTGGCCAGTTGCTGAGCGTTGCCTTAGAAACTGGGATTCATTGTTTAGGATGTAAATTGTGTTTTGAATCAAGATGTCTGAGTTTTGAAAGCAGAATTGACCCTTCTGAAGCCATGGTTCTGATTACCTCTGATTTCCTATATACCAGCTATTCCTTTAGTAGTGGAAGTAACCTAGGGACAAAGCTAGTCGATTTTTGGATTTGGCTTTCTTATGTCTAGATTAGAGGCTTAACAGATGAAGCAAGTAAATAAGAGCTCCGGTGTGCTTTGGAGGAAAGTCTGCTTTCTTGGTAACCCTGCAGTCGTAGGAAAGGGTTTCCTGCTCCACAGGCGATGCTGCTGAAATACAGTTTCTTCTCCACTTCCCAAGTAAACAGAAGTATGGCTCAGCAGCCTGGAGATTCGGAAGCCCTCAGTCCTTGAGTGAAATGCGGTGGGTGCTTTATACTCGATTGGGTTTTGTGGAGGGGCTTGCTACAATTATAATAAAGAAATCTCAAAAGTTTGATTTTTACATCACCATTTGCTGTATGTCTGACTGGTTTCCAGCAGGAAAAATTCTTAACAACCGATGATAAATGCACCCTTCTGGTGCCCCTTTTCTCCCAGTGGGTTAATCCATCTGGGGAGCTGTGATTTTGACCTCTAAAGTCTAGGTGCTATTTTCCATCTTAGTGTTGAGCGAGGAGGAGGATATAGGTTTAAAATTCAGATTTCTTCAAAATTGATAAGGCATCAAAAGGGTTAAGTGGTTTGAATAGCTGTGGAACAAGTTGGTTATTGATTTTTCTGCTTCTTTCTCTCATTTGCCCATTCCATTTCCCATTCTTCTTCCCCCTGCCCCCCACCCCACCCCACTTACCTTTCCAACCAGGTATATATTTGCAAAGAATCTTTTTGAAAATGGTTCCATCAGTGGTTTGGAGTGGCATATCTATCAGGAATGGCATTCTTTTCTCCTGCAGGAGTTTGCCAGCCGGCTCCAGTTACACGGCTTCATCTACCTTCAGGCTACTCCCCAGGTAATGCCAAACCTAAAACCTCTGACTTTAGGGCCATATAAACCTTAAGAGGAGATGTTTCCCAAGCCTCTGATGTCCTGGTTGGAGACACTAGACTGTGGGCATTATCTGGAGCACAGAGAACAGTAGGTAAACACCCTCCCATCTAGCACCGAGCACCACTTCCCCAGGCTTTCTGCAGCAGACGGGTAGAACAATTGACTGTGCATAGAAAGGGTCCCTCTTGATGTAGCAATAATGTAGAGCAAATTAGTCATTCTTTCTATCACCCAGGGCTTACAGGTTGGACCCCCTGACCAGGTAACCTATAGCCAATTGCCTCAGCGTTTCCTTCCCTCTGTGATTGTCTTGATGGTTGCTTGAATGGGACGTGGGGAGGAAGAAGAGAAGGGTTGCCTCATCTCATCCTGGCACTGCCCTGCTTTATAGCCCCCTTTCATGCCTTGAGGACACCCTGGTAATGCATCATGGGCTACAGAAGTTGCTTTCCGTGACTCTCTCTCATGGACCAGGGAACCAACCTAGCACAGATTCTGATAGGGTGATGTCATAGAGGGAGCACCAAAGTCTCCAGAGTCAGCAGTGGTCCTTGGCCTCTGCTCACTGGCAGTGACCCTTGGGCAGTCTCTGGAAACCTTTCCCTGGAGGGGTTCTTACTTATTAAATCTTACAGTTGCTCAGACTAGTGCTGTCTAAGGGCTCTTCTGGAGGGGGATTCTGGGTCAAGGCAGTTTTCAAGAGAAGTGTTGCTCTCAGCCTTGAGATGTATATGTAATGTATAGTGAAATTCCAGATAGACCACATGATCTTAGGAGGGAGAGCTGTCTCCAGGCTGGAGGCCTTGCCTTTTTTAGAGAGAGAACTGAGCCTTGTAGACAAGAGGAAGCCTGCAGGCAGACTGAGTTGTGTCCAAAAGCAGGTGGAGAGCCCTGTCACATAGGCTCGCATGAGCCAGAGAGGAGAGGACCAGAAAGAAGGGCCTCGCCCCAGGCAGGTGGCAGCCAGGAGAGAGGCCAGGAGTGTGACTGGGACTAGATATTAGGGTCTTTGTGTCAGGAGTTTCAGATCGTGAGACAGGAACTAGATAATTGAAGGAAATAAGAAAAGGATTCCACAGAACTAAATAGGACCTAAGGTTTAAAGTGAAACTGAACTAAAGATTCAGTGAGGCCACAGGGCTGAGAACTTGCAGGGAAAAAAGGAACCTGAAATTAGATGTGTTAATTGCAAGTTGACTAGCTGGGTCACATTTATATGACTTTTTTCAGTAGCCTTCATTGCCTCGGAGCATTATTAGAAGCGGCATATTATGAAGGTGATTATACCAGGGGCAGAGGGGGAAAGAAGACCCCTGCCAAAGAAGATGACTTAAGGTAGCCGAGTGTGGGGTCCAGGGTGAGAGGAAAGTCCTGGTCCCAAAAGGGCTCATGGCCTGGGCCAAGGAGGAGTGAGAGGCTGTGGCCTTGGGCCTGGCTGAAGATTGGAGTTGGAGTTGGAGGAGGTGATGGGTTTCTAGTAGGAGGCCTGAGGTGGCTGGCTGCCAGACATGGTGGGTTGGAGGGCTGAGCATTAGAGGAAGCGGGAGTGCTGACCTAACCTTTTCCAAGGGAAACAACTTCAACATAATTAATTCAGTGCCATGAAGACAGTAATGGTGACAAGGAAGTGGGTGGACTTGTTCCTGAAAGTAAAACAGAGCATTTGGCTAGCTGCAGAAGCTTTGTTTCTGGAGAGTCGAGTTTGAAGTGGGACCCAGCAAGGAAAGCAGGAAAGGCTCGCTCACTTCTTTGTGCATTTGATGACTTTGTGACGAGGGGGCAGTGACGATGACGGTGATGGCAATTACTACTACCATCACCCTCTCACCCTGGACCCCACACTACTACGATGCTGGTGGGGCTGATGAGTCTTTTTGGAGAGACTAACAGGTATTCCAGCTTGGGAAGGATGAGGGAAGCTGAGGGATTATTGCAACCTAATGATAGAAAAAGAAAAATCTTTTTGTTTGGAGATTTTGGTGCTGGTTTGATGGCATTAGAGCCAGGGACCCAGGAATCCTGCTATCCTTTCCCTGAAGTCAGCCCGACCTCTTCTGTGAGACTGAGAGGTAACGGTATCCGAGAGGAGTGTGGAACGGATGTTAAAACACCTGTGTGAAAAGCTGTGCAAGTGAACAGCACTCCAGTGCAGAGCTGTGGTGAATACTGAGCTCAGAGCAGTGAGATGGGCCGAAGTAGGGCCTTCTACTCCTTTCCACCTTCTCTCCCCGAAATGCCAAAAAGCAAGCAAGCCAACAGTAACAAACATTTGAAGAGAAGCGGCTGGACCTCAGCGTCGCCGCCCAAACCCGTGGACTCGGGAAGAAAGAGTGCAGTCGGTCAGTGTGCCTCAAAGAGCCAGGCCCGGCCTGTCACAGTGTGCAGCATGGAGACAGCGTGTGGAAAGGCCTGGGAACAAATGGCACCTGGGTTTGGAAAATACAGGGGCCAGGCCCACAAGCAGCCACCGTGCAGTTGCCATCTCTGCCTCCAAGCAGTCTGAGCAGCAGCTTTTCCTGAGGAGTGTGTGTGAGGGGGAGCGAGGCAGATGGGCCGGAGGGTCTGTCCCTTGCTATTTGCATATACACTGTGTCCCCTATTTACAATTGGACATGTCCTCCCAGTGAGGAACAGGGACCAGACTAAAGTACTGTTTACACAGGCTTTTTTAAAAAAATTTTTGTAACCATATCAGTAAAGCAAGAATTATGCCAAATGCTCAAACTTCTGCAGGGAAGAAGTTTGCTCAGTTAAGCAAATTAGTAGTAAAAAGGGAAATGTTAGCCTTTTTAATAGAAAAGACCTTAGCATCAATGTTTGCCTGCCAGCAATGAATGAATGAATACAGCTTTTATGAAAGGAATTGCTCTGCCCTTGATATAATTGAAAACATGAAGTCACATTTTTTAAATATGCATTTTTATTAATTCTGATAATATTTTTCTCTGAGAGGAAAATTAGGTAGCTTTTCTATGTTTAGAAATCCTGAAGCTTACCTTGCTGGCAGGAATGTAAATTGGCTGGCCTCTGAGGAGGCGGTCTGGCAGTATGTACTAGCAAGCACACATACCTTTTTACCTATTAATTATGCTCCTTGGAAATTACTCCATAAATACGTTCCCACATGGGCAAAATGTCTCCTGTGCAAGGCAGCATTGTCTATGAGAGCAAATTAATGGAAACAACCCAAGTGGTCATCAGTAAGGACCAGTTGAATACATTGTGCTCTGTCCATGCACTGGGAATTCGAAAGTCCTGAAAAAGAATAAGAAGGTACTTTACTGTACCAGTCTCCAAGATACATTGTTAAGTGAACAAACATTAAGAGCAGAGTATATAGTATGATACCTTTTATATGTATGCATATATTTTTTTTTAAAAATGGATAAGAATGTATATGTGTATAAAGTATTTCTGAAAATATACAAAAAAGTTAATAATATTGGTTGGTTGTTAGTGGGATGGAGAACTGGGTAGCTGGAAGTCAGGAGTGTAAAGCTGTGTGACTGGAGAGGGAAGGGAATAAGGGGGAATGTCATGAAGCCATCAGCTGTAGAGTGGAGGTAGGGGCAGAAAGAAGGGAGGAGAGAAAATAGGTGGGTTCAGAGTGAAGGAAAGTAGAAATGAGAAAGTTTTTTTAAAGATTTTACTTAGTTTTAGAGAGGGGAAGGGAGAGAGAGAGGGAGATGTCAGTATGAGAGAGAAACATGGATCAGTTGAAACAGAAGAATGGATCAGTTGCCTTTTGTACCTCTCGCATGCACCCATATGGGGACCTGGCCCGCAACCCAGGCACGTGCCCTGGCTGGGAATCCAACTGGCGACCCTTTGGTCCACAGGCCAGCACTCAGTCCACTGAACCACACCAGCCAGGGCTGAAAAAGATTTTTTAAAAGTAGGAGAAAAAGAGAAATGGATGGAGCGAGACTAAGTCAGCTGGCCCGCCTCCTGGGTTCCCCCCAGTCACTGCGCTCCTCAGAGCACCTTGTGCAGGCCGCCCTTTGTCACCTGATACAGCTAAAATGCCACTGGTGGTCTGTGTTTGCCCAGGGCCTTAGCACAGCAGCCAGCTCTCAGTGGTGCTCAGTGAGCTGGTACCAGGGATAAAGGGGGAACTTCTGCTCCTTCCAGGAAACACCTCTCAGACTGTTGATGCCAAACTTCTCCCTCCCTCATTTGACTGCTGCACTTAAATCCAACCCTCACAGCTTGAACTTGATTCGCTGTTTTGTGTATTTTGTTTTACTTACTATCTAATTACATTGTAGAATTCCTAGGACAGGGACTTCATCTGAGTTTTGGATAATTATTGATTGAGGGAAGAGGGAGAGACCAGAAGGGATAAGTTCTAAAAGTATTAACATGTTAGATCATCTGTTAATCAGTTTGAAAAGTTGGACATAAGGTAGATTATAAATAAAATCTTTGTATATGACTTTATCTCCTGAGAGGAACTATGAACAAGAGGGAAACAGCAAAAAGATTCTGTGCTTCTGGAATATTGTGCGTTATGTTTGGGGATAAAGTTTACATTTGGGAATAAGTTTTCTTCAGTGTTTGGAAGAAAGAAGTCCTATACCAGTGGGTTAGTCCACCTGATCTTCCAAAACAGATGACATTGAATGATGAAATGTTTGCTAGGCAAAGAGAGAAGAAAGGCAATTGTGAGAATGCAAACATTTGGAACAAGTTTGGAGGCGTGAAGAGCTTGGTCTGCCCTGAAGGCAGGTGGTCAAATATGTCTAAAGCAGTGAATCCCGGAGAGGGGCTAAGGAAGTTGAGAGTGGAGATATGGGAGGGGTGGGCAGACTCTGGGAATGGCCTTGTGACAGGTAAAGAAGATGACATTCTCTGAGCCATTGTGCTTCAGACTTTTTACCAGGTGAAAGCAGAATGGATTAATGCACACTCTGGAAGGAGGGAGGGGAGGAGAGTTAGTCCCAAACCTCACTTTTTTTTAATTTCTTTATCTTTACCCAAGGCAGATTTTGCATTCTGCTGCAGTGATTATTTCCTGTGATTTGAAAGAGATGTTTGCAGTTACTTAGCCTTTCATAAATATGATGCTACTCATACTTCCTTGAACCCAGAGGCAATGGCTGTAGGCAGTAATGGGCCCATCAAGTATTTTAGGCAGGGAGAGTAAGGCCATTATATTGGAGTCCTATGGAAGGATGGACTGAGCAGACAGACTGGGAGGAAAGAACATCTTTTACCAGGAACTTAACATGCCTTGCCTGGCAGATCCTCACAGTGACCTGTGAGGGAGTGGAGGCCCCACAGAGATTGCACCGCTAGTGCATGGTGGAGACAGGAATTTAATCCTGGACTTTTTGGCGTTAAGACTTGGGCCCTTACCATACCCTTCACCATCTCCAGGAAGCAGAGAGCCAAAAGGCTCTTGCTGTAGTTCAGGTGAGAGTTGATAAGGACCTGACCAGGCCAGAGGTAAGAATGGAGCAAGGAGAGAATGAACTTGAGACGGGAAGGAAAGATTCAGTGACATCCTGGAAAAAAAGGAGAAAGAAAGATAATTCCAGATTCCTGGGTGGGCGATGTTTGCCCTTAACCTGTAATTGAATAAGAAAACAAGACCATCGAAGCAAAGTCTTGGCATATAGTTCCCAGGATAGACATTATGAGGGGGTCTGAGAGCCCCCAGACTGCATTGTAACAGCCAAGGAGATGGATGAGCTCAGCAGGGATTGTCTTTCAGGTCTGTTTGAAGAGACTACACCAGAGGAACAGGAAGGAAGAGAGAGGAATTGAGCTGGCGTATCTCGAGCAGCTTCATGGTCAACACGAAGACTGGCTTGTTCACAAGACCACCAAGTAAGCAGAGGAGAAAACAGCAGCAGACAGAGGCCTGCCTCTCTGCAGCCAGCCCTTAAAACACAGGATGTTTTAAACACTGCATGTTTGTTCAACATGCAGCCCCATAAGAAGGTTCAGATTGTACTGGAAGTGGTTGGAAATGTCAAGCATTTTCCAACTCAAGTTCAATACTGGGTATAATCTGTATATTCCAAGAGACTTTGTTAGATTGTATTTCTTCAGTTTTCTGATTTATAACATTCCACTGGGTTGATCATCGTGATTGATGATAATGATATAAATTGGCTCAGGGTGAAAGGCTGGAAAATTTTAGAGAAATTAAGTTGACATTCCCGTTTTTGGCCTTTCCTCACTAGGCGCGGTATGCTGTCCGCCTGAAATGTTTGGGGCTCTCGCCTTCAGGGTTAGTCTCAAGATTAAAGAGAAATTTTAGCCTTCGTCTTTCTGGATAACTTTATTGGATTCCTTTTCTTTTCTTTTTTGTTTTTCTTCAGGTAATAGAATTTTGTTGCCTCCTGGGTCACAATTTAAAACATATGAATTGGCTTATTTTATTTAATTTATTGGGGTAACATTAAATTGGGGTTAATAAAATTATACAGGTTTCGGGTGTACAATTCTATAATACATCATCTATAGTTGCTTGGTGTGTCCCCCACCCTCAGACAAGTTTCCCTCCATCGCCATTCATGCCCCGCCTTTCCCTGTGGTAATCACCATACTGCTGTCTAAGTCCATGAGGTTTTTTTTCTTCTTTTGCTTAATTCCTTCAACTTTTTCACCGAGCCCTGCATGAATTCTTTTTTAAAACTGCTGTTTATGTGCCATCTCATTGCCAAGCCATGTGACCGTAGACCTGTTCTCCAAATTACTAAGACTTGGTGAGTATGTGAAGCTTGACTCGGATTGCTTTTTCCTGTTCCCTGAATGGTCCTGCTCCTTGTAGGCTCCACTTTGAGGCTCTGGTGGACATTCCAGTGTTGGTGTTGGATGTCAATGATGATTTTTCTACAGAAGTAACCAAACAAGAAGAACTCATGAGAAAGGTGGGGAGGACCTGAACTCCTGCTTTCTAATGGTTTTCCTTTATTTCACTTTTATCTTTGCTTCAAGCCTAAATATAATACCTATAATGTGAAATGTAATTATACATTTCATTTACATAATGTGGTTATACATCCCTTGTACAAGTTACAAATATAATCCCAGTTTTCTAAAGTACTTGGGGCCAATAATTGTTCAATAATTGACTTACAATACATGCTTCGCAACTCACTTCCTCCTCTAAGGCATTCTAGAACTAGGGAATGGAGACTTCTGGATTCTATTCCCAGCCCTGCCACTTGATACTGGATGGCCCTGGGCAGGTCGCATTTCCTCTCCATGCCTGTTTTCCCTCCTTCTCAAAAAACTCATGGGCTGCTTACGCATTGTGGATGGACTGTTGTATAGTCTGCTGCAAATGTGAAATTTAACTTTTGGGTTTTCTCTTTCCCATAGGTAAACGCCTTTGTAAATAGTTTGTAACCAACACCAGGATGTTCTGGCTGGGATACAGGCTCTCTGACGCTCTGAAGCTAGAGAAAGACGGAGTCAGCCGCCTGTCCCGTGCTCACCGCCATCTCCTTTTGCCCCAGAATGCTGGCACTTCACGATGTGGTTTCTGTTACTCTTAGACTTTGCCATGGTATTCTTTTGTATCTCAAAGTTTTCTAAAATAAAGCTTACTTTAGTTTTGCTTATTTTGCTAATCTAGTTATTCATTTATTTCAGCGTGTATTGATTGATGCCTGCTCTGAACTCCCCTCTGAACTAGCCATTTTCACCTGGGAAAAATGTTAACTTTTCTTCTTCTCGAATCCTTCACCAGCCAGACATGCCAGGGCAGGAATCGCTCCCAGGACCCTACCCGGGCCCTGCCCTGGGTGTGAAGAAGGGAAGTAAGTGGCTCAGGAATGGGTGGGTGCTCAAGTGTGAGCCCTAGAGTTCAGAAATGGAGCCCAAACTCCAGGAAGCTCCTTTCTCTTTTCTCGTCCAGCGCTCTTGGTATGGAGGATGGGGTCGAGATTTAGACCTTAGTCCTAGATCTGAAGAACCCAGACAAAAGAAAGAAATGGAGAGGGAGGGAGAGAACAAATCAGGAGCATAAAGCTTAGCACCTAACATTTAGGATTTGGTCATCCTGGCACTATGGCCTGCTCCAAACACCTTACCCAGGAAGTTTCAGGTGACCTTCATGGAGCAAATCTGTCTATACTGGAAAGAAAGAAAATTTCTATGCTGCACGTCCAGCTTCCAAAACAATTTATTGTTAGGGAAGGAAAAAACATGTCTTGATAAAATCAAATTGCTCCACTGCAAGACACTTGCAGGCTTATGAGCTGCTGAGAGCCGAACCCCGGCGAGCCCCTGGCAGCTGTGCGGGCGCACAGGAAAACGAGGGAGCTCGGGACTCAGTGTCCCCGGACGCACGCCTGCTTTCCTTTATGCTTGGGAACATGAGTGTGCGATTGGCTTCGTACAAACGGGATGTTTTGAAATAGCAGCACATCATTTCTTTTTTACTTAAAAAATTTTAACAGCTTTATCGAGATATAATTCACATATATATGTTTAAAGTGAATATTCAGTGGTTTTTAGTGTAGTCACAGGGTTGTGCAACCACGACCACCATCAGTTCCAAAATGTTTCATCAGCCCGAGCAGAAATACCCTGCCAGGGAATCACTCCGCCTCCCCCGACCCCCGCCACAACAGCCCCCAGTCACCCCAGTCCTGCCCTGCGCAACCACCTACCTACTGTTTGTCTCAACAGATGGACCTATTATTGACGTTTTGTATAGGCAGAACCACACAGTATGTGGCCTTTTGTGATGGGCTTCTTTCATTTTCAAGGTTCATCCATGTTGTGATGTATCAATACTTTATTCTTTTTTATAGCTAAGTATTTCATTTTATAGATATACCACATTTTGTTTATTCATCCATTGATGGACATGCAGATTCCACTTTTCGGCTATTACAAATAATGCTGCCCTGACAACTCACGTACAAGTTTTTGTGTGGCTGTATGTTTCAATTTTTCCTGAAAAATTGAATTATTGAGTTAAAGGTAACTCCATGTTAAACTTTTTCAGGAACTGCTAACCATTTCCAAGATGGCTGTACTATTTTACATTCCTTCTGGCAATGTGTGAGGGTTCAATTTCTCCGCATCCCTGTCCACCCTTGCTATCTGTCATTTTCATTATAGCCATCCTCATAGGTGTAAAGTTGTATGTCATTGTGGTTTTGATTTACATTACCCTTATGGTTAATGATGTTGAGCATCTTTTTATGTGCTTATTGCTTATTTGTACATCTTACTTGGAAAATGTCTATTGAAATCCTTTGTCTATTTTTAATTTGGGTTATGTGGCTTTTGTTGTGGAGTTGTACAACCACTTTATATATTGTGAATACAAGTCCGTTTTAGATACATGATTTACAAATGTTTTCTCCCATTCTGTGGGTTGTATTTTCATTTTCTAGTGTCCTTTGAAGCACAAAAGTTTTTAATTTAGATGGAGTCAAATTTATTTTTTGTCACTTGACCTTTTGGCAGCATATCTAAGAAAGTTTTGAAAACCCAAGGTCACAAACATCTATGTTTTCTTCTAAGAGTTGTACAATTTTAGCTCTTACATTAGGTCTGTGATCCACTTTAATTTTTGTGTATGATGTAAGAAATGGGTCCAACTTCACTTTTTTGCATATCTAGTCCCAACACCATTTTTAGAAAGATTAATCTTTTCTCCCATTGACTTGTTTTGGCACCATGTTAAAAATTTGTCCGACTTGTTCTTGTGTTAGTTTGCTGCTTCAGGCTTTGGACAAGACCAGGAATGAACAGTATAAGGTGTTGGGTATGTTTTGGAAACTCATTGGTTTTGGTCCTTTAGCTTTAAGGATCCTTATCTTTAATCCCCGTCTGTGTTTCCACAAACCACTAATGTAGAAATGACCGGTAAATCCATAGTAAGAGCACTCAGCCCTCACCCTTCATTCATTTACTCAGTCATCAACAAGTGGGACTATCTGCCATATGCTAGAGACCAAGGAGGTAGCAGTGGACCCAACAGAAGGCAGACCTTGTCTTCGCCACACAGAACTTGTCATCTAGTGGAGAAGGTGATAGATGATGAACAAATAATTGCAGGTGTCGGGAGCGTTTCAAAAGGAGAAGTCCAGCTGTGCTGTGGGGGCCTACACCGGAAGGGGACAGCTCTCCCAGGGAAGGTGCTGAATTCTGAAGAGCGAATGGGCTGGAGTGTTCAGGCAGAGAAAACAGTCATGTGCCTAGGTCTCCGTGTGGCAATGGGAGATTCAGTCCAGACTGTCAAAACCCAGTGAGGTCAGTGAGTTTAACAGAACTTAAGAACATAGTCCTCTCCACATCCTTCATTTAGTCTCAAAGCCTGAAGATCTACAAACCCAGCATTTCTTTGCATTTGTGAACGTTTTAGAATGTAAACCGTTTCTAAGATAGTCAAAGCCATCAACAGTCTCACCTGGGTGAAATAACTTGCCATTTTCCGAATTGGTAGCTGAGAGGGTCTGCAGATAGAGAAAGCAAATATTTTAATGAGGAGCAGTAGTTTTGGACGTCAGGTCTTGGGGAGGATGGGTCTGAGACGCGTGCGGAAACTCGGAGGGGAGGGTTGCACCGCCAGGTCGGCCTGGGCCGCTGTCCTCGCTCTTGCTTCAGGCTGTCCCCAGAGCCCAGAAATTTGAATTAACATGTAAAAATAGCTACACATCTTTCCCACTTGCGATGTGTTAAAACCTGCTGTTCTGGAACCAGAATATTGCCTCAATGGGTTTCTAACATGGATTGAAGTTGTGAAAGTTCTTCAACTCTTAGTCTTTCAACATGAAGGGAGAAGGTGATAGTTTCAGGTGAAAGAAGCTGTTATGTGCAAATGCCAGATTCACAAGGAAAATGAAGCAAGGAAATAACATGCACTTTAAATTCCAAAGACTGTTTAACCTCCCTCAGCTCTCCCGTTGAAGAGCAGGCAGTTTAAATCTCTGCACCGCTTTCTCCTCAGAACGTGTTCCTTTGTTGGTCTCTTCTCCTGTCCCACTGCTCAGTGTCTCCCTTCCTCTGTCCTTGGTTGGCTCACCCTCTGACACACTGGTGGCCCCCGGGCCCCCTTGGCCCTTTTCATTCCTCACTCCTCTGGGTGATCTTGAATTCATTTTTTTACTGATGCCGTAGCAAATGAACACACATGTGGCTTAAAGGAGAACAGAATTACCTCACCGTTCTGTGGGTAAGAACTCTGACGTTCTCGTTGGGCTAAAATCAAATTAGCAATAGGGCTCTGTTTCTTTCTGGAGGTTCTAAAGGAGAATCTGTTCCCTTAGCATCTCCTTGTAGAGGCTGCCCACAGTCCTTGGCTCGTGACCCCTTCCTCCATTTTCAGAGCCAGCAACATTGCATCTCTGACTCTTTTTCCATCGTCCCATGTCTGGCCACAGCCAGCAAAGGTTCTCTGCTTTTAAGGGTCTGCATGATTACTCTGAACTCACCTGGATAATCCAGAATACTCATCAAAGCCTTTAGCCTTACATCTATGTGTACAACTACATCTATGTGTAAAGTCCCTTCTGCTATTAAGATAGCACCATGGGTGCCAGGATTAGGACGTGGGCATCTCTAGGAGGCTGTTCGGGCTTCCACTGATCTCAAACACTGCCATGGCTGGTTCTATTAGGATGGGGTGAGGATTTTTTTTAAAACTTGGAAATGTTATGGGAAATGAATCATTTGCAGTAGCTGAGGGAATAGTACAAAGATCTTGTGTATCTCCATTACCCATGCCCTGACCCAAACAGCCTGAGACCACTAGGAACAAACCTGCAGTCTGACAAAATCAGAATTATTAGCTCATTGCAATAAAGGAGACCACACACCAAGAGACACTATGGCGTCTCACCAAACAGGCAAAGGAAAAGTAGGATTTGGGGGGCGGATAGAGTTTAGGTAAGACTGAAATGCAGCAATGTTTTGATGGGCTCAAAGCAAAGCAGGAGTCAACATCCGGTCTGAACTGGGGCAGCAGACCCAGGTTCATTTCCTTCAAAAGTGCAAACTTAAGATAAATATGGAATACTGTGTTCAGAAGCCCCTTATCTGAAGCTCTGAACCTGAGTTGCAAATTGAGACTCCTTCCCTGTGTCAAAGTGACTTAGATCCTCCTGGCAACAGAAGGGTGCTTCATTTTTCGTGATAAAATTTCAAACAGCAAAGTTTCTGATGGTCTATCATTTTAGAGAACAAGGCTTCCCAGTGAGTCAGAAGGCAGTAGTCACGCAAAGAAGGGGGTGGTTATGACACTTGAGCTGCAGCATGCCCTTGGGACGAGTATTGTTTCATGGTAACTTTGTACCTATGTCTGTCCTCCCAGCCTGACAAATGTGAGTGTTTTTTCTTAATCTGAGCTAATTTTTACTTTCTCACCCACTTCAGTTATCTACTCATAGCCAATTTTGTTTCACCTATATCCTACCCACTGTTCTCAGATAATTTTGAAGCAAGTCCCAGACAGAGAATGACTTTGAAAGCTAGAGCCATCTGGACCTGCGGTTCTCGTCA